ATAACTGGCGATGGGACTTGGATCTATGCTTACGACCCCGAAACAACCGATCAATCGAGCGAATATCGTGCCAAAAATCAAGGTCATGTTGACTGTTTTCTTTGATTATCGTGGTGTTGTGGTATCGTGGTATTATTTGAACGTTATGCGTCGTTTGCGTAACGCTATCCGCCTAAAAAGGCCGGAATTGTGGAAAGACAATTATTGGTTTTTACACCACGATAATGCACCATCCCACACTGCCCTCGTAATTCGTGGTCATTTCGCCAAAAACTCAACCCATATCGTTCCGCAACCACCGTATTCACCTGATCTGGMBCCGTGCGACTTCTGGCTGTTCACCAAGCTCAAAAGACCGCTCCGGGGACACCGTTTTTATAACTGAAACCATCCCGGAAAGTGACTACAACCAGTGTTTCGAAAATTGGAAAATCTGTTGGCATAAGTGCATTGCATCGGTAGGGGATTACTTTGAAGTTGATGAAATTGATTTGGAAGAATAAATAGGGAATTTTCAAAATAAATGCAATGTCACCTTATCTTTGGGCACAGTACACACTGCAGATATTGAGTAGATTTCTCAAGTGGTCAAGGTTTAGGGAAACAAAAATGTTAACAAGACTCACTAGATCAATGCTTACAGCTTTTCAGATTTAACCGAGCTTATGCTCAAAATTCAGCATTTGCCGAGTTGACAGTTCTTGGCCGGATAAAAATCCGGTTCCGGTGATGTGGTTCTATAAAAATATACCGTATAAATTTTTACCCATCCGGAGTCGRGGATCTCTAGATTGATTGGCTTCATCGGATCATAAAAACAAAGTAATGYCTCTTCACTTATTTGGGGTGCTCACAGTTACCTATTAATTTTAATTTTCGGCAACTTTAAWTTACATAAAACTTGAGAAAAAAACATTTTTCTAAACTACTTTAGCCAATATTTATACTCTTGCAACATTTGTACACCAAACGGTTGTTTGTAACACTTAAAACTAACCAACTTATATATATATAGAGTTATATAAATATAAATGATCGGGATGATAAGAAGAATTGAAAGCCAAGTGAGCAAATGTCCGTTCCGGACGGTCGGATCGCATGCCTGTGCAAGCTGTAACTTGAGTAAAAATTGAGATGTTGTCATGAATCCTTGTACACGTTCGTAACGGACCACTGCCACCCGCTTTTAATCGAAAACCTATAAAATGTCATAACYAAGCCGCAAATTAAGATACATACCTGTTATTTGGTACAAGGGGATTGCAGCAGTATATAATATTAAATCAATAACTAAATGCTACAGACACATTAAATTTTATATTCAGAATGGCTAATGAAGCCTTTATATGGGCCGGGCTCACAGTTTGATCATGGGGGTGACAGCGCAGACATTTAGGTGATATCACATAGTTTCGAACCTAATCGTATCATTATTTTGCCATTCCCATTGCACGGCGTGAAATCGTGCTGCAATCAGTCCTACTCCCCATATAACACTATTTTAATTTCTATCTGATTTTTTCACTTTCAATTTTATAGAAATCAATCATCAACTAATAAATCGGGATAAAACTTCGCACTTTAAAGTATGCCATATTAGGTCTAAAAATTGTCAAAATCGGACCATAACTATWYTAGCCCCCCCATATTGGAAACGGTTTCCCGGAACGGTCGTTTGAATTTCTGAATTGCCCGAAGTTACAAAGAAAATCGGGCGAATATGGTGGTTGCGACGGTGCAAAATCAAGAGTTGTCGGCCCAATCCTTCTTTCACGAATAGCTTCGCGYAAATGCCGCATAACACTGATATAGTATACACCTCAATAATCGAAGAAAACTCTCAASATGACTTTGATTTTTAATTGTGGTGTTGTTTTCGGCTTCGGCTCACCTTTGCCACGATATTCGGCCGATTGATCGTCTCTTTCCRATAATAATACATTTGATGACATCCCGGTAGTCGGAAAGCATTGTTTCACAGACGTTATCACGACGCTGTTTAAAAAAAATTTAGTATGTATTATCTCATATCGGATTTACAACTAACTCCATCCCAGGAACAGTAATTCCCTAACTATAGTGGAATTGCTTTTTTCAAATATAAATATGTACCTGAAATACGAGGYTTGTCAATTAAGTAATGACACTGATTTTATTGCCGCGCTTGTGGTAAACCTGTGACCTTGGAATTCCCTTTCTCTTTTTCCGGCATCCCTCCCCTTTCCATTGATATAATCGCTCTAGCTTGTTCAGTTCGCCGGCTGCGTCAAGTTGAGTAGACGTGTGTTTGTAGTGCTCGTCACAAAAATGGAAAAACGAAATCAAGAGYAACGCTAAAATTGTAAGAGTGTATGGTGATAGTGCTATTAGTCGTRCCCAGGTGTTTCGATGGCACAAAGAGTTTAAGGAGGGCGTGAAAGCGTGGAAGACGAGTCGTGGAGTGGGAGACCAATCGCTGTGCGGACTGACGCGAATGCGCAGCGTGTTCGGCATTAATCCGTAAAGATCGGCGTTTAACATGTTCGAATCGGAACTGAGTATCCAGGGCGCGCCCAGACATCGCTCGTAACTGGATTCTTCATCACGACAACTTGCCGTGCCACACTGCCTTCAGTGTGTCGCAGTATTTGGCCTCTAAAGAGATCGCCGTGTTGCAACAGCCGCCTTATTCRCCCGACATGTCACCCTGTGACTTGTTTTTGTTTCCTAAACCAAAATCGGTGGTCAAAGGAACCCATTTTGAGTCGATTACGRACATCCAGGCGGCCGTGACGAGGTTACTCGCGGACGTCCCTGTCGAAGCGTTCCAGAAATGTTACGAAGCATGGAAAACGCGCTGGAATCGCTTTATAGCTGCCCAAGGGGACTACTTTGAAGGGGATGGCAGAGTTGTAGAATAGTTATCAAATATACGTTTTTTATGGAATCAGTCTCATTGCTTAATTGTCATACCTMGTATGTATRTACTTATCAATTTCACTCCTATCTCTTCTTTTTAAATTTCTTAAAATCTACCTTAAATACTCGTATATGCCATACTATTTATTATATGCTATGTATACTTTACTAGTTATGTAAATGTTTACGCAGTAGCTAAGGTTGGTCGCCAATTTATTGCTTAGTCATGTTTGCGTTTTGGAATTAACTTTTTAAAGTGGCTGAAGACAAAGGTATATAATTAAGTATATGTATATAAATATAAATGATAGGGTGGTATATTATTTTGGATA